CTGTAATGACTACCTAACTGTTTTCTTCACTTCCATTTTTGCTCTTCCCCCTCCACTCTTCACACTGTTCCAGAGTGATCCTTTATGAACTTACATATGTCATGTTACATACCCCTACATTGAAAATCCAAAGCTTTCAATGTGGTCTATAAAGTGTGATCTGACCTTTGTCTCTCAATCCTCATATTCCTCCTGGTCTCAGTGCCTCAGCCACACTGACCAACTTTAAATATAGGCAAGATCGGAGACTTTGCATATATTGGAATGTTTTTTCATCAGCTCTTTATGTGATTGGCTCCTACTCATCCACCAAATTCAACTTAAATATCCCTTCCTTAGAAAGCCCTTCTCCAACCCCAAAAGACACGCCTCTTATATTATCTCAGCAAACTATTTGCCCTTTCTTCATGGCCCTTTTCCAATTGTGTAAATATATATTTGTATACTTCTTTATTTAATGTCTGTCTCTTCCATGAGAGTGGGGTCCAAGTCAGTCTTGTTCTTCACTTAATCACCATCATTTCTCACAGAACATGACACAAAGCAGGAGCTCAACAGAGTTTTGTCTACTGGATCTAGGCTAGGCCTTGCTTTGAGACAGAGGTATTTAGTGGCCTAATCTGTCATATACCAGATAACCATGTTTCCTTTCAGGGTTCTATACTGTGACCTTGTAACTGAACCAGCTGATTTTATGGTAATGAGACCTTTCAAACTGTCAGCATGTGTATACTTCCATTTACACTGTTAACCTTAGGTTCTGAGACCTCCTGTCCTCGTCTCCAAACCTATTAGCTGACATGTGAGATCTCTCTGATATTCACAGCCACATCATTCAGGAAGTCTCATGAACCTTCCTCTGACTACCATGTACACTGGGAATGCTGCCTTTTCACTGTGGAAGCTGCAGCCATATCTGATGAGAGCTCACTTGTATCATGGTACCAAACTAGAAGTAGAAAAAGAGGAGTAGCATTTTGAAAGGCAATGAACTTTGAGATGTAAGAATTACCGGGAATGTTTCCTCTCTCCTAACTCATAGAATGTCAGAATTGGGAAGTACTTTACAGCTTTAATCTAAACCTCTACTGCAAAGGTAAGAATTTTGAAGACCAGAGAATTAAAGTAATTTTTTCTAAGGTCACACAAGCATGTGACCTCCGTTGTCCGCTATACCCTGTGTTGATCTTAGTAACAGAAATTTGTGCATACTGACTTTAGATTGATTTTCTTGGAATTTTTTTTCTGAGTTGTAAAAAGATTGGAGCAAAATGAAGGTAGGGATAAAATGGGGATGGGGACATAATCTCTGTGATTCAAGGGAAAAACTCAAGTTCTTCATCCCTCAGGGTTGAAGGGGACCTCAGAAGTCATATAAACCATAAATACTGGTACAGGCCCTACAAACACTGTTGGCACATCCACGGGTAAGATGCTCACCATTGAGGTATTTAGGGATGGAGTTTAGTGTTTAATGACTATGGTTCCCTTTGTGAAAGAGTGTTGTTGGTCAAGATAAGATTACTATTCTACTCAAGGAGACTTCAGTTTTTCCCTGACATTTTAATGAAATGGGTCCACCAGTTTATCCTCCACCAAAATGATTTGCATTTACTTTCCTGACACGTTTTTCACTACTCATATGCTGAGGCTTTAGCAGTGGTTGGATCTCAGGAGTGTATCGCAAAAGATTCTGCCAGTCTCATTGCTAGAGCAGGTTTTGTTGGCTGTACTTCCTATTATGATTGAAGCTGCCCTGAACTTTATGAGGAATGAGTAAGTGTAAGTTGCCTTTGCTAAAATATCAGGTAGTGATATTTCCTGTATGCAGTATTGACCTATGCATTGATTGGAAATATTTCTAATCAACACCCTCAGTTTCCTGTGTGTGAACTCATTCTTTATCACCTCACAACAGTTCATCTGCCTCACCCTACCTTGTGAGAGAGGCAAAGGCACAAGATGGGAAGCAGGACGTCTGAAAGCACCTGTTTCTGAATAATTCTGTGATTACAGGAGTCAGGTTTGAGAGCTACCCTTATATACCCTAAAGGAAAGAGGTGACCTGAAGGGTGGCAGCTTCGTTCTTTCGGTTCCTGTATGTGAGGACTCAGAGAGACAGACATATAATTGGCATCTCTCAATTTAGTTTGCCCCAGTTGAAAGAGGTAAAGAAGTTCATATTCACTGAGTACTTACTGTCTGCCTGGCACTATGCTAAGTGTCAAGTAGGGCTATCATATCGCATGCCTGCAAGGGGCACCATTCACACTTCAGTCTTTGTAAAATGTACCACGGAAAGTTGTGCAGTGAGGTATCTTTATGTCTATTCCAACAATTATACAACTGCCCCGTGAATAGCCATGACCATATATAAGTCCTTTGGCTTCCAATTCTTTTTTTTTTTTTTTAAATCAGGATCCCTAGCAGGAGACGAGAATAAAGGATGAGGTCAGGATATGCATTCTCCTGGCTCCTTCCCTGCGAGGTCACTCGGGGCTGGCTGTGTCCCTGCTCTTCTCAAGACCGTTTTTACTACATAACTCTATCCCTCTGGGCAACTCTATCCCTCTGGGCACTAGTTCGTTCTGTTGTGCCTTTGCTGTGCTGTCCCTTGAAGTTCCTAATTTGGATGTGCCATTTGTTTCCTGTAGGGACTCTGACTAATACAGGCTAGATTTCAAGATGAAGTCCACCAGAATGAGAAAGCGAAGGTCCTTTCCACTACCTCTTGTTAACACCCATTGAAAAGTGCTAATATGTTAACATGGACTGTCTTTTGAGTCAGGTGGAGTCAGTCACGGGTGAGAGCCTCCAAGGTGGTGCATGTAACTTGCAAAATCCCCACAGGACATTTACAGCAGCATTTGAAGCCAAGAGGACCTGCCCTGCATGTCCATGTTATAGATGGTGCTCAAGTGATTGCTCATTAAGACACACTAGAATGGTACCTCCTGCAAAAAGGGTCCCTCTGGTCTCAGAAGCTTGTCAGGCAGCCACTGCTGTTAACTAACATAGATGCATTTGATAGCTTGAAGGCTTTGCATCTCCAGGAGTCTTCAATGAAAGATTAAAAAAAAAAAGGAAACCTGTAAAGAGTAGGAGTACTCATTTTTGACAGAATGGCTAATTAGTTGGAGAGCTTTTGAACAAGATATTGGGTTGTTGGAAGTCATGATGCATTTTTGCAACGAAAAACAAAAAATACATCATGACTTTTCTGACAACCCAATAGTTAGGCAGGAGAGAATGGGTCACAGAACAGGTGAACTTTGATAAGGGAGAATGTACAGAACAGCATTTGGAGCTTTGCCAAAGGGGCAAATCAGCACAGGTGGTACTGTGAGGGAGTCCTGGGAGGCCAAGGGCACCATCTAATGGAGGAGATGTGAAGACACCGAGCGGGACAGAGATGAGATATGGAACAAAGCTGAAATCCTCACCTCCCTGACAGGTTTTCCCTTGCAGACCTTGGATGATGTCATTATAGATCTCTGGTGAAAGCATCTTCATGGCTTAGAGTTTAATTCTTCCATCTCATTATAAAGAATCACTCTGATCTCCTATTTATTTCCCAGCAAAACGGAAGTTCAAAATGGATTATTATGAGTGGGTTCACAACCTGGAGGGTGCCTCCATGAAAGAGATCACAAAAACAGGAGGGGTTGGCAAACTTTTGGAAGGTGGGTACCCATTCTTTAGTTGTTTATCCCTTAAATTAGGCCCAGGGTTGTGTGTGGCAGGAGCTACCCAGAAACCACGGGGGTCTGTATTAGTGCCATCCTTGTCATAACTTCACAGCCATGGTTTCAATAGGAATGCCACAGATGGAATGGAAGGAGAGGTGATGTTCGGTAAAGTGGGTGGGGCCATGGAATGGATGCCAGTGGTTAAGAATAAGCTCTGATGTCAGAACCTGATACTTAGTATCCATGTGACTTTGGCTAAGTGACATTACCTGGTTGAGCTTCAGTCATGTTATCTCTAGTTAGGATAATAATATACATACATGCATAGCTCACAGGTTTGCTGTGAGAATTAAAGAAGTTAATTCAAATTAAGTACTTAGAACAATTCCTGGCACACATTAAGGGCCATTTAGCCATTATGGTCATTATTACTATTAAGCAGAAAGGGAAGGAAGGAGTGCTATTAACAGTTGGTGAGAGGCTGCCAGCAAAATGTTACTGACTCGTGTTTGGCTAGAACTGGTTCGGACTGTGTAACTCAGATACATCTTTGGGCCCCCTTTGTCATTCATTCACCCACTAAACAAATATTGCTTGAGTGTCTACTACGTGCCAACCCCTGAATGAGGTGTTGGGTCCATGGTCGGGAGCATTCATAGTCTCTCAAGCGGTTTGCCTGAGAGGGAGAGACAGATCCATGAACAGATAATCACAATACAGGAGGGCATGTGCTCTACTAGGGTGAGAGCCCGCATGCTAAGTGTATATGGAGAAGGGAGAGAGGGGTAGGGGGATGGGAAATTTAAGTTGGCCTGGAATCATGTCAAGGTAGGCTTGCTGCTGATGCTGACCAGCCCCTTCACTGAGGAAAACAGATAATGCACTGAACGTTACACTGAAGGTCAAAGTTAATTTATTGACCAAGTCAATACATGTATATTGGACACTGCCTCCCTGCCAACCATCAAGCTAGATGCTCTGACACTCCATGATGACAGAGACTTTATCTCTTTTTCTCAGTTCTCAGCCAACACCTATGTACAGGTATAATGGAGATGTGAAGGAACTTGGAGACCTAGATGGACCCAAAGGACATTCAAATCTTGGTCTTTACTGGGAGTCTCTGGTCCTTGGTGGGCTTAGTGTTTGTGATAAGGTGACAGCTATACTTCTTATCTGGCACAAATGAGTGGACAATGAGTAAATGCAGCAATCAACACATTGGTGTCTTTGGAGCACGACAAGTGTGTGTGTGTGTGTGTGTGTGTGTGTTGCGTGTGAAGACCAGCTATGGGCTAGTCATTGGTAATGAAAGGAGAGTGTAGCAGGATGTATGACATATAAATCTGGTTAGCCTGAAAAATCTTAACCATCCTAGAGGCTGAGGGAGTCTCCTGTCTCCTCAAGGCTTATTTAATGGACACTAGAAATCAGAAGGACTTCATTTGCAGCCGTTACTGGGAAGACTCTCTAGCTCTGCTTCCCTTCAGCTAATCCTAGGATTGGCCCTCTCCCCTGGCCTGTATCCGGAGCCTCGTTACTCACTGTCAATACCAGAAGCCAGGCTTTGATGCTAGAGTAACCAGCTGCTGCTTATTCCCTTCAGTTTCTCCATGTCCTGACAGAGGTGTCAGGGCAACAACAGCTTCTCAAATGACAGCTTCCCCTGGCTTAGGCCTGGGAGACCTGACGCTCTTCCGTCCTTTCCAGTCTGGCCTGGAGTGAGCATGGACAGCAGAGTAGTCACTCCAGGATGTTTGTCTTAGGAAGCATGGTCAAGCGCAGGCACGGAAAAGACACCTCTTGGAGACACATGGAGATCACACTTCAGGCACACCCACTCGGACACAGCTTCAGGTCTTGAGAAGGGCTTTGCAACGTTTGCTGTGGGCAGTCACTGCCCTGATATTGTTGCGCCTTCAGCCCCCTGTCTGTAACGGATGGGCGAGCTATTGCTGAATGGCAAAGGAACAGGCGCAGTGCGGGCCACTGACTCAAAAGGGTTCCTCCTTTGAATGGGCTGCTTTGGTGATGAAATTTTCTTAGGATTTCACAGCCAAGTAGATTTAAAGCATGAGTTACGAAGTTTTTATGTTCAATACATTCCCGAATTTACCTGCAAACTATTTTTCTAGAAAAGGAAACGTATAAATTTTAAATGAGCTGGACCTTACTTAATTCACTGATACGACATGTATAATTAGCACAGGCTTATTTTAGATTTAAACATCAATATCATATGAGAACGCATGTCTACAGAGTTTGCTGAATGCTTTAAAACATAATCCTTATCGTATTTTTGTTATAAAAGTAATACGTGCATGTTTATTACCTATAATTTAGAAAAATACCAAAATCCACAACACTGAAAATTAACATCACCTATAATCCCATAACTCTAAAATAAATTAATATTAACATTATAGTGTATTTTCTATGCTTTTCTTTTTTTTTTGTAGCATATTTTCTTCTAGGCTTTGATCCTATGTATGCATCTAATAATTTTAGAGTGACTTTTACATATAAAGTTAAATAACATCAATGCAAATAGAAAAGAACATGAAATTACCATATTTTCCCATGTTTAAGATGCACCCTTTTTTGAAAAATTTGGGGTCTAAAAACTGGGTGCGTCTTATACAGTGGTTGTAGATTTTTTTTTACTTGCATTTCCCACAAGTGATGAGAAGTTGTATGAATTTTATGATGAATAAAACTTGAGTTCAATGACTTTATGTAATACATTTTTTCAAATTTCGGGCCCCAAAATTAAGATGCATCTTATACATGGGAGCATCTTATACATGGGGAAATACAGTACTTTTCTTGCCTGTTTGGAAGGTTGTCCTTGAATGAATGTTCTCTCAAACGTAATTCAGCTACCTCTGCCTCCTACTACAAAGATACAGCCAGGAAACCATGGAGGGGAGATGAGAGTGCAGACAGGCAGAGAAAAATGAAACTCTGGTTAATATCTAGACCAGAGAGTAAATTATCCTGCTGAATGCATTTGGAGGATTGTTTTACATAGAGGAACACAAAGACAGTTTCATTGATTGGTTGGTTGATTCAGCAATGATTGAGACCTCATTTTGAACCAGGTATCCACCTAGGCAATGGGATAAAAATATAAATAGGACACACCCTTGACCTCCAAGAGCACCCAGTCTGGGGTGAAAACCAGATGAATAATAGCAACGACAATGAGATGCCTTAAGAGCTGTGATTAATAATAATAATAATAATAATAATAATAGTAATAAAACAAAAACAAACAAACAAAAGAGTTGTGATTGAGCCACATGAATGCGTGAAAAACAGCACCTCAAGGGCCAGCCGAGTGGCTCAGTTGGTTAAGAGCTCGCTCAAGAGTTTGAGCTCTGAGCAACAGCGGTTTGAGTCCAGCCCGAGCTGAGCAGCTGC